ATAAGCATGGACAGAAAGGAAGAGCTAAAGAAAAGCATGGTCCAGAGAGAGGCTGACCTTAACCATTTTGAAGGTGATACTGATGTGTCTGAATTTGTTTCTGATGATGAAGCTGCAAATTCAGGTTCAGATGGGAACAATGTGGATTTTCAGTCAGAGTATTCGTCTGAAGATGAAGCTGCAAAACAAGATACATCAGTGGTACAGAAACTGAAGGTAGTGAGAAAACCTGGTCCAACTACTAGATCCCACCATAAGATTGAGAAAATGGAGAAAGCAGATTGGTTCCCTGAAGCAGATGAAAAATGTTTCCCTAGTGACTATGGCATCAGTGATGAAGAAGATGAGCCTGAAGGATCCTATAAACTACCAAGTGGTAGGAAGAGAAGGAATAAGAAGTTGAAAGACAGGATATGGTATGATCACAAACTTCAAGGACCAGTAGAACAGTTTTGTAAGGGCTTGTGCTTCACCACTGTGTATGAGTTCAGAGATGCACTTAGGTATTTTCACATTAGGACTTTGAGAAATTTTCAATACCACAGAAATGCCCCAGATAGGATTATTGTTTGGTGCTCAGAGAGAGCCACCCAGGGATGTGATTTTTATATATGTGCCTCTAAGTTAGCTCATGAAAAAACATTATGCATCAAGAAGTGTGATATGTTGCACACTTGTGGAGCATGTGCAGAGTTCACAAAGGTTACTACTAAGTGGATGTCAAGGTCAGTGGAGGCAGCATTGAGAAAAGACATTAGATCTCCTGTGCATGCATTAATTAAGAAGACCAAGAGTAAGTTTTCAGTGGATGTATCAAGAAGTGTGGCATATAGGGCAAGGAGGAAGGCTGTTGATGTAGTTCAAGGTGACCACAATCAGTATTACTTGAGGCTCAGGGATTATCTTCAAGCAGTTCTTGACACAAACCCAGGTAGCAGGTGTATAGTAACAACATTTGAAGATCCACAGAACCCAGCACCTACTCCTAGATTCAAGTATATGTTCTATTGTTTAGCAGCTTCAAAGGAAGGTTTCCTTAATGGTTGCAGACCATTTATAGGTCTTGATGGATGCTTCATCAAGTTAACCACTGGACAACAAATTCTTGCAGCCACAGGAAGGGATGGAAACAACAATATTTATCCTATAGCTTTTGGTGTGGTTGACAAGGAAGATGGTGAAAGTTGGAATTAGTTTTTAACTCAATTGAGATGTTGCATTGGCAGTGGCAACAAATTTGGAACATACACTATCATGTCTGACAGGAAAAAGGTTGGGAAGAATTTCATTGAGCAATTTATGTTATTACTTTTTTCAATTGTATTAATAATTTGTGAATGTGCAGGGCTTGCTTAAGGCAATAAATGAGGTATTCCTTGATTCACCTCAAAGGTATTGCCTTAGGCACATATATGCAAATTTTCAATCTGTTGGATTTAGAGGCCAGGAACTAAAGAAGTGTATTGACAAGGCTAGCTACTCCTACACTAAACATGGGCATGAACTAGGCATGGAAGAGCTGAAAGCACAGTCTGAGGATGCTTGGAAATGGCTCAAAAAAATTGAGGTCTCTACTTGGGCTAGGTTTGCTATGGATCATACTTGCAAAATAGATTTAGTTGTTAACAATCTAAGTGAAGTCTTCAACAAGATGATACTGGATGTTAGGGCCAAACCAATAAGGACAATGTTTGAAGGGATTAGGACCAAGCAAATGATCAAGAGGCAACAAATTAGGGAGAAGTTACAAATTAGCAGGTGGACAATCACACCAACCTACTCAGAGATTTTAGAAGAGAACAAGTAGTATGCCAAGTATTGTCAGGCTGACAGAGCAGGTCCAACAATTTGGCAAGTTACTAGCAAAGAAAAACAGTATTGTGTGGACATGGAAGGGTATACATGTGACTGCAAGAGATGGAACATGACTGGTGTACCTTGCAGTCATGGCATATCTGTACTGACAAAGCAAAAGCTGCATCCTGAGGACTATGTCAATGACTTTTTCAAGAAGCCACTTTATTTGGAGACGTACAAAGAAATCATATACCCTGTTCCTGGTCCAGATTTCTGGCCTCACACAAACACTCCAGACATTGAACCTCCTGTGTTCAAAGAAAAGGCAGGCAGAAAACAGACTACAAGGAGGAAAGGAGAGTTTGAAGTTCCTGTCCCAAGAGACACCAGTAGGATGGGAACAATTACCTGTGGAAATTGTGGGTTGGAAGGACACAAGTATACAAGTTGCAATAAGACTCTTAGGCCTAAACTGCAAATGAGGAAAAACAAACAGCAGGTAATTATCAAGCATCAGAGCAATGTTTCCTTTTACATAGTCTAATCTAAGTTAAGTTGGACCTTTAATGTAGGAAAACAGGGCAGTCTATGCACCTGCTCCATCTGCTCCAATACAAACTCCAAGAGCACCAGCCCCTAGTGCAAGAGCACCAGCTGCTGCTGCATCAGCACCAGCTCCTGCTGCAAAAAGGGGTAGGCCTACAGGTGGAGGGAGAGACAAGGAATTCAGTGCACCAAGATCTGTTGCTGCAACTTCAGAGGTTTTGGCTGGTAACAAAAGGAAGAGGTTTGCAAGCAGCAGATTGAGGGGTTATTTCTATGCCAGTGGTAACTGACACTATAAAAAGGTAGAACTTCTCTCTTTGAACCTGTTTGAATTAGTTTAGAACCTGTTTCTCTTTGTTTTGAACCTGTCTGTACTTTTCGGCATGAGTATGTCTGAATTTGGGTGAACCTGACCGAACCTCACTGTACTTGTATCAAATTTGTGGTGTATCATGGGCCTGATGGTGGGCTTCTGTGTTGGACCTAACTAACCCACCAAGCCTGCCACACTGTGTACATAAGAGAGGCCACCAGAAACCACTGGATCCCTGCACCTCATTCCCCTTGACCAAAACCTAGCCGCCACTGATGGATCCACAGTTAGGAGAGGTAGTTGATGAACAAGACGAGGTTGCTAGGGCTGAAAGGAGGGCTAAAAGGAGGGCCAACCGTCGAGCACAGGCACAGGAGTGACGCCAGAGGATTGCTGCCATGATTATGGCGGAACGCAACCAGAATGACGTGAAGCAGTTCAAGGAGGTGTTCCCAGAAGGAACCAACATCACAGATGAACTAATCATCTGGTGGGCCAGAGACAGGGCTTCTTTCCATCGATTCCAAGAAACAAGGAAGAGATGGACTCAGATCCTGGCTGCAGCAGAAGGAAGACAGGATTGGGATTCGTTCTACGCGGTAGTTTCTGACTAAATTGTGGTGTTTCTGAATCTGCTTGTCTTGTGCTCAATATTGCCCTGAATCTTTTTCTTAGTCTTGCTTTGAATCTTGTCTTCTTCTGAACTTGATGATTGCAGTGAAGGATGCAGTTCAGGAGATGCACCAACTGTGATGAAGATGATGCAATGTGGATGCCTGAATCTATGTTAAAGAGAGTACTCATGTTAAAGACTATGCTTATTTTCTGAACTATCTATGTTTGGGTTGTTGGAAAATCTATGATAAAGACTATGCTTATTTTCTAATAAATGTATCCATGGCACAGTATTTTTAAGTCTGAACTTATGCCTGAATCCATCTATCTGCATTTATCTGAATGTTTCTATACTTGGGCTTTGCTGAAATGTGATTTTTTTGTCACTCTAATTTTTGAAATACTCCACTGTTTGACCATCAACTACTCCACTGTTTGAGCACACAAGTTCCAAGTTGCTGGGTTTCAACAAAGACTTTAATTGCAACACAACTACCACCATTTCTCATCACTCAATCTCGAAAACCTCACTTTCACACTCCACCGCACTTCCTCCACTCCAACATTTAAGTAGCCCAACAGCTCACTCTATCTCTGCTCACTCTACCTCTCTCTCGAAAACCTCACTCCACCTACATCCATGGCTGGTTCTTCCTCTAAGCCAGACCCATGGCTGAACCCCTTCCCCACCGGCAAGGGCTGGGTTGCCATGCTTTTTGGGTCGTCTCGCGGCGACGAAGACCTCTTCCTCGACTACATGAAGATTTCCATGAGATACAGCAGCGCACAAGGGCTCGTGGATGCATCAGAAGAGGTGAGGAAGAAGGCGACGGCTGAGGAGAAGCAGCGCATGGACCAGCGCTATGCAACCCCAGGTAAGGGTATCATGCCCATCGACATGTTGTTGTGGGTAATGAAGGAGGCGGACTCCGGTGATGCTGGGCAGAGGGAACGGTGGGCAGCCCACCGCTATATCCCTCCAGCACAAGATGCAACTCCAACTACTATGGGCAACGCCGACGAGGACCTGCAGATCATCACCCCACTAGCACTGCTGGCTCGCCGACGTCCTCCTCCCATCATCGTCATCGATAGAGACGAAGAGGAGGTGCCAGAGCTGCCACCTACCACTCAAGTCAAGCAAGAGGTGCGACAGTCAGGTCGCATAGCAGGGCAGGGGCCTAACAATCTGAAACAGTAAGTTTCAGATTCAGTTATCACCAGATCTATGTGAGATTCAGTTATGTCGGTTTAGTTCTGTCAGTTTATCAGGGTGTTTGCAATCTCAGTGAGATTCAGTTCTGTCAGTTTAAGTGTCTTTGAACAATTTCAGTGTCCATGTCCTATCAATGTAAGACTAAATGCTATCTATGGGAGACTAGATGTCTTCCAAACTTCTTTGAATTTGTCTGAACCTGTGATGAAGCAATTTATGAAGTAAACATATCTCAGCAAGAACTTATGATACAACACACACAAATAAACTACATCAGACTTAGATAATTTAGTTCTTAACTTAACTTAGCACCAGTTCTCAGCATCAGGATAATATTTGGGCAGTACAGATCAGGGCAAACACCACCCCCACACCAACCAAAATGATCTGAACCCATTACAATTCTTAGGTAGTTCAAAGGTATATCAGGGCATATTTGCATCAGACTGATCATTCCTAGGCCAATTATATATATAGGCCTCATATATATTTACCATCCAGAGAGCTGCCACTTCACTCCTCCATCACAACTTCCTTTATCTTGTCCAGCTTTTCCTTGCACCCATGACCAACCTTAAGGAGCTCAGCAATGACATTCTCCAGCTTCTTCTTCTCTTCTTTAAGGAGATCTTTCTCCACCTCTAGCTCCTTCATGGCCTTCCTTGTGTTCTGGATTATATCAGCTTGACTCTGAAGGATGCACCTTTGTTCTTTCTTGAGCTTAAGCTTCTCCATTTGAAGCTCAATCTTTGCCTGCTCCTCAAGTTGCTTCTTCTTCTCCTTCAGTTCATTGATTGCCTGGCTTGTGAAACCCATGTCATGAGATTTGATTCCATCCTGATAATCAAACAACTTGGACACATCATCCACCAGCTGGCTATACTGATTGGCCAGAGAAGCAAGCTCCTTCTGCAGTTTTGCAACCTCTACCCCATGAGACTCATTATCCTGGGCTCTACCAAGGTTCTGCTCATGATACATATCTCAGAGCTTGCTTAAGCACCTTCGCAGAATTATAGGCCAGGGAGCATCTACCCACTCCAGAACACCACAGTTCACACCATCCTGAAAATCAATTTAATTTTACAGTGAACAAGCAAATTCAGAATAACAAATCATAAACAATAATGATATAAGCTACACTAGCTAGTTAGTTCTATACTACAAGTAGAGTATTCATACTTGTTTCCAGTGCTCTTTATTACAAGTAAAGTATTCAGACATACCAATGTTTTCAGACTTAAGGAAAATTCAGAATAACAGCAACTAAACACTCTGTTTCCACTACATAGCAGAAATTCAAACTAATCAAATCCACACCAACTTGGTCCATTACCTCAGTAGCACATCCTATGAATCTCCTGACAGTGTCAGTGCCTTCAAATGCCACAAACTTGCCCGCCCTCTGCCTGTGCAGGATGCACCTTCTATCAGATTCAGTCACAAGCCCACAGAAACTAGGGTCTATCATAGTGTCAGGAGTTTGCTGCAAAAGCAAAAGCATATCTATATCAAGAACAACTCACATATATCAACTTAAATGGAAAAATCTCAAATATCTTCAAACCCTAACCCTAGAACAGAACAGACAGGAGAGGGAGAGGATAGACTGAGATGACTTACAAAGTACTCCATCTGCATGCTGCTGAACTCGCTCATGTACTCATCATCGTCGTCCGACGTCTCGTTGCTGTTCGGCCACGACGGCATGGTCGTGGCGTCGCCGGAGCGCGAGAAGAAGAAACATAAGCAGAGGAGAGCAGAGAGGAGTTGAGTGAGCTCGGGGGAGAGTGAGAGAGCTGGTGGGGACGAGCGGCCCGGTCGGCCAGGTTATGACCTGGTCCCGACCAGGTGCGACCGACGAGCGGCTCTAATGGCCCCGTGCGCGCGCCGTTAGCCGTTAGGCAGGCCGCCAGCCTGGCACGTGGGCCACTCACATCAGAATCGCGGTTAAAACGGTCAAAACCACCATTCAGTCAACCTGGTAGTTTTTAGTCACGTTTTTACATGTTTTTGGTAGTTTTCGGCCACTTTTAAAAAAGTGGTAGTTCAGTGGGACGCAAACCCCTAAACTGGTAGTGTTTTGTCAATCACTCGACTAAGGAGACTGTCAGTTCTGTCAATGACGCTAAATACTTGCAGTTAGGAAATAACAGTCCCCATATTGGAAGGCTTTTTGTCGAAAAATATTGGAAGGCTTGTTTATTTTGTCTTGGGTCGAAAAATATTGGAAGGCTTATATTTGTTTACAGAGGGAGTAGTAAATAAGAAGGCTAGCTTAGGTTCTAAGAATTGTTGAAACATACTATATACTCCTAACAGAAATATAAAACAAAGACATGGACAATTTATTCCTGCTATGTGATGAGAAGCACTATTCTAATAGAGATAGAAATGCTTGTTTAAATTATATGTCTTCTTTACCATGATTGCCAATATCCACTTCTGCTGCAAGTGCTTCTATAATTGCAACTTCGGGAAGTGTGTGGTTTGAAGATGTGAGATGTGGTTCTTACATAAATATTTGAATGGGCACTTATGAATTAGAAGGGAATAGTTGCCTTGCCTTAGCAAAGTTCGTGTAAGGAAAATGATTGCCTCAGCTAACACAATACTTATAGGAAAGATAGATGCAAGTTCAAGAACTTAATAAGATAATTATTTTTTCCTTCCAGAACAATGGTCTGTTTGTGCCAGGGACTAACATATTTCATAGGAGACATGATTTATATCTTTTAGGATTAGTACAATTTTCATACAATCATGGTTTTATCTTTTAAAGTTGGTAGATTTTTCATTTATTGTTTTATTCCCCTGAATGTTTACCTAAGAGGATAGCTGCTATTCATTGTATCTTTTGTCAGATGGCTTCTATCACCCTTGCTGATCTATGTTGTGGAAGACAAAATCAAATGCTATGTGTCCGGGTGCCTCGGCTTACGCATTTTTGCAGCAGTTTAGAGAGCGGTCCTATCAAGCTCATACACATGGTCATCATCGACGTGCAGGTACTGTTTAGCACATAACATGGCAGCAGACCAATTGTGCATATGTTTTTCCTTTCATGATGCGTCCTTTTGTCCTAGGGTAACTGCCACTAGTAGAAAACAGGGCTTTGGTCCAAGCCGGGTCAGCCCATTAGTCCCGGTTCAGTCCAGAACCGGGACCAATGTGGGCATTGGTCCTGGTTCGTGAGCCCAGGGGGCCGGCCGGGCCACGTGGGCCATTGGTCCCGGTTCATCTGGACCTTTTGGTCCCGGTTGGTGGGATGAACCGGGACCAATGGGCCTCGCTCCTGGCCCACCACCATTGGTCCCGGTTGGTGGCTTGAACCGGGACCAAAGGCTCCCCTTTAGTCCCGGCTCATGTCACCAACCGGGACCAATGAGGTGCCTATATATACCCCTCGCTTGCGAGCAGAGCACCCCAGTGCTCTATTTTTCTCTGGCCGAGGGGGAGAGGACTTGGTGGTGCTCTAGCTCACCTCCTATGCACACAAGGTGTTCGATGGAATGCCCAAGCCACACTACTTAAGCTTTCTCCTCTCCAAGCTCAACCTCCAAGCTCCATTTTCCATAATATTTGTCTAGGTTTAGCGGTCCGTCACGCCCCGTCCCTGTCTTCACCGCCGTCGATCACCCGTGCCGAGCTCATCGCCGGCACCACCGTGGTGAGCCTCTTGTTCTTATCTTCTTTCTGAAAGGGAAAATATTCTTACTTGTATGTTTACATAGATACTTGTATTATTTTCTTACTTTTATTATTGCATCTTATATAGTGCGATGGTTTTGGTATCCGCCCCCGTCGGCCCTCATCCTGTCTATGATTCAGATGTGGTATATATATTATCTTTATAACTATTGGTTCATTTATTGTTTATGAAAATTATGCCGACCAACGTGACATAGATTTTATTTATGTAGGATGTATGTGAATCGGAAATGCCAACCGACCCTATTGTCGAGAGGTTAAATTTAGTTGAAGAAGAAAACAATTTGTTGAAGGAAAATATAAAAAAAATTGAGGAGGAGAAGATGATATTGGAGTTGCATGTTGCGGATGTCGTCGATGATCACAAGATCAAGATGGATGCAATGCGCTTGAAGATTAGAAAGATTAGAAAATATGCCATTCATACCGAGGCTTGGTATCATTATGCCGTTGGATCAATTGTTACCTTGGTTGCGATTATGATCGCATTTGTTTTTGCATTGAAATGTTTTACATAGTTTCAATGTATGGTTTAATTAATTAGATGCTCTGGAGAGCTATATGTAGTTAGATGAGAACTATGTATGCACTTTGGTTTTAATGTGATGATGAACTTCTATTAATTTGGACACTTAATTATATATAATGCACGCAGATGAACCGGCAACGGATGTACGGTGACAGACACACCTGCGAGTACATTAAGGGCATGCATGAGTTTCTCGATGCGGCTGAGGCAAACAAGCAGAATGGTTTTATGTGTTGTCCATGCACTGAATGTGGGAATACGAGGTCTTACTCTAACTGGAAAATCCTTCACTCCCACCTGCTTTACAAGGGTTTCATGCCATACTATAATGTTTGGACGAGGCACGGAGAAATAGGGGTTATGATGGAAGATGGCGAAGAAGAAGAGTACGATGACAACTATGTGCCCCCTGAATACGGTGATGCTGCAACAGGGGGAGCTGGTGAAGATCAAGAGGAACCAGACGATGTGCCCAATGATGCTGCAACGAGTGAAGCTGCTGAAGGTCAAGAGGAACCAGACGATGTGCCTGATGATGATGATCTCCGCCGGGTCATTGTCGATGCAAGGACGCAATGCGAAAGTCAAAAGGAGAAGCTGAAGTTCGATCGCATGTTAGAGGATCACAAAAAAGGGTTATACCCCAATTGCGAAGATGGCAACACAAAGCTCGGTACCATACTGGAATTGCTGCAGTGGAAGGCAGAGAATGCTGTGGCTGACAAAGGATTTGAGAAGCTACTGAAAATATTGAAGAAGAAGCTTCCAAAGGATAACGAATTGCCCGACAGTACATAAGCAACAAAGAAGGTCGTATGCCCTCTAGGATTGGAGGTGGAGAAGATACATGCATGCCCTAATGACTGCATCCTCTACCGCGGTGCATACAAGGATCTGACGCATGCCCGGTATGCGGTGCATTGCGGTATAAGATCAGACGAGATGACCCTAGTGATGTTGACGGCGAGCCCCCCAGGAAGAGGGTTCCTGCGAAGGTGATGTGGTATGCTCCTATAATACCATGGTTGAAACGTCTGTTCAGAAATGAAGAGAATGCCAAGTTGATGCGATGGCATAGTGTGAACTGAAAGAAAGATGGGAAGTTGAGAGCACCCGCTGACGGGTCGCAGTGGAGAAAAATCGAGAGAAAGTACTGGGATGAGTTTTCAAAGGACCCAAGGAATGTATGGTTTGCTTTAAGCGCAGATGGCATTAATCCTTTCGGGGAGCAGAGCAGCAATCATAGCACCTGGCCCGTGACTCTATGTATGTATAACCTTCCTCCTTGGATGTGCATGAAGCGGAAGTTCATTATGATGCCAGTTCTCATCCAAGGCCCTAAGCAACCCGGCAACGAAATTGATGTGTACCTAAGGCCATTAGTTGAAGAACTTTTACAGCTGTGGAATGGAAACGGTGTACGTACGTGGGTTGAGCACAGACAGGAGGAATTTAACCTTAAGGCATTGCTGTTCGTGACCATCAACGATTGGCCCGCTCTCTGTAACCTTTCAGGACAGACAAACAAAGGATACCACGCATGCACGCACTGTTTAGATGACACTGAAAGTATATA